TTCAAGAGGTTGTTTGCATACACAGTAATCCAACACTGAGGCTGTTTATTGTTTGGTTTTGATGGCTGGGTTTTTTTTTTTGGGGGGGGGGTTGTTTTTTTTAATAACCCTGGAAACACCAGAAGTACATTTTTACTACATTCATTCTGCATTCATCTTCTCAGTGGGAAAAGAGTAAGTGTGCACTTTCTGTTCTGCTCCACTCAGTATAACCAGTTTGTTGGAAGTAGATTTTTTTTCCTTCTTTTCTAAATGACACACTTAAGCCAAAATGCCGTATTAAAATGGACTTTGAATTTTGTTTTGAGATCTTTTCAACTTGTTCCTGGAGGTTTTCCTTTTTTTTTTGATCTTCTCCCCATTGTTTTTTTAATAAACCATTACACTTCTCCATGTGACTTGCCAGCTTCCCCACCAAGAGATGCTGCATTTTTTGCATGGTGTCTCCTGACTGACTTGACTTTGGGATACATCTAGCAAACACACTGAAGCTATGTATCTGATACCTGGGCACACTAAGAGCTTTACTACTAAAAAGAATCTCCAGAGAGCAAACAGTTTGTACATTTGTTCAGTTTCAAACCTGGATGTACGATTACACCAGATGTGTAAGGTGAATACCAGTTTATGCCATATTATGATAAGCCTCAAAGGATTTGACTGGAGGCAAAATTTTGGGGAACACATTTCCTTCTAAGAAGCCTATCCTCTATAGGAGAGTTAGGAAAAGCATCCAACAATATGCAGTAGGCTCACAGATTATGTTCAAATACATTTTTGTTCTTGAAGGATGTGTGCTCTTTATCCTTTCTTCTTGCATGAGAACCTATAAAAGGCAATCTCAAAGGAGTCCAGAAGTATCCTGTAATAAAATTCCAGTTTGAAAACAGAAATACCATAGAAAAGCAGTACTCTTTTTCCAAAAGTTGTGTGATTAAACAAAAAAATTGTCTATTTCAGCAAAGTACTTTTCCTATGGAAAAGTAGTCAACTTTTCCATAGGTGATGAACAGACGCAGGTCTAGAAAGCAGTTCTCAACCTCCCATTTTTTCACCTCATGCTTCCAGGTTCCCAGTGGAATGGTCATTGATGTAACATTGCCAAGGGTCCCACAGGGAAACTGTTGGCCTTCAGTGGATGCTGCTTTCTGTTTTCCAGCATGTATAATGACCAGTAAGTCTTCCTATTGAGACAAACATTGCACAGGCTCCCCAGTAAAAGCAACTTAACAGAGAGCGGTCTTTATTGTTAAGATTAGCTCATAACTAGCAAATAATAATCCATTTTTTTCTCACTAAAATTTGTGAGAATCAGTTCTCCTGAAAGGTCTAGACAAAAAAATTAGGAGAAAAGGCAAATAAATTTTTCTATAGGCAGTTCTAGAATTTCAGTGCCAAAACTCGAGCAGAAAATGTGAAAAATACAGAAATGCAGCCATCACAAAGATTTATTATTTTTTCTTAATTATTAAGACTGGAACCATTCTTTGGCACTAACAAGGAGAAGAGGTGTGAAGAACTAAGCTGTTACACGGTTACTGTGGTTTTATGGCTTCCAGAAGTCACTCTGATACCCAGCCTAACTTAAAGTGGATGCAAGCCTCTCCTAATTTTGGCTACAGTTCAAGGAAACATTCAACTCCCTTGCTTGCTGTTTCTTGCAAAAAGCATAACAGTGTTTAAGATTTCCTTTGTAGTAACTATAAACATATACTTAAATCTGTATGTTCTCAAACACATACACTATATGCTGCTTCAAAATAGCTGGCATTAACTTTAGAGTGCTAATTATAAAAAAAAAGTATAGTCACTAAATGCAGTGAAGTTAAGGAAATATGATATGAGAAAAAAATTATCTACTAATTTCTCTTTGGTTTTAAGCTTGAGCACTTAACAGCCTATCATAGAATCATAGAATAGTTAGGGTTGGAAAGGACCTTAAGATCATCAAGTTCCAACCCCCCTGCCATGGGCAGGGACACCTCGCTCTAAACCATATTACCCATGGCCTTGTCCAACCTGGCCTTGAACCACTGCCAGGGATGAAGCATTCACAAACTCCCTGGGCAGCCTATTCCAGTGCCTCACCACCCTAACAGGAAAGAATTTTCTCCTTATTTCCAATCTAAACTTCCCCTGTTTAAGTTTTAACCCATTACCCCTTGTCCTATCACTACAGTCCCTAATGAAGAGTCCATCCCCAGCATCCCTATATGCCCCCTTCAGATACTGGAAGGCTGCTCTGAGGTCTCCACACAGTCTTCTCTTCTCCAGGCTGAACAGCCCCAACTTAATTTGTGGTCTAAGCTTAATAAGGTATGGTACTGAAAACTGAATGTTAAGATGTAATGTTTCCCTCTGTTATTTTATTATTATATTAGTTTTCCATTTACCAATGCAATCAGTTTTATTTTATGATCAATCATGGAAGTATACCATACTGTTTCTTACGCTATATACTATTCCCACTATTTATGCCCTTACAGTAAAACGTTGCCTTTTGTTGAAGAACATAAATTGAACAGAAATGCTCTCAAATGTTTAAAATACTTTTTAAAACCCAGTATGTAATAGCTCAGTAAGTTTTACCAGAGGTGTATAATTTTTCAGCATTATGTCTTAATGCCAGTTTCCTGAAGAAGCTTTGACTACAAAAGGTATGAATATGTTTTCAAAGGATGATGGATAAATTGGTGGGTGGTAATATAATATATCTTAGGCAGCTGATCAGGGCTTTTTATCCTCTGCTTGTCTTTTAGTTATACACAATTTCAAGATAATTATGGTCTCTTAGAATGTCTTTTCCCCTTCTTACTACCAGCAATATTTGTCTTGTTTATAGGTTCAAGAAACTTCCAATCACACCACAGAATTAGAATAGGGCAATTATGGCACCTTAGCAAAGAACTGAATGTATAGATAGACTGACCACACAGTATGGACATAAGGCAGTTAATGAACTTCCTTTACATAAACCACACATTAATTAGAATACTAGTTATAGAATATATTGAATCCATACTTGAATTCTATAAAATAAACCCCAAGCATAAAGTGTATAATTCAGGTTGATATGTACCATTATTTACATTGCCTTTTCAGTAAAGAATATAGTCTCACTAAATAAAATGCAATGTTACTCAATGGTCAGATATGTTACACTAAAATTCTGATCTGATGGAGACATCCAAATACCCAAACCCTCATTTTTATGACAGTAGAGGACTTCCTGAAATACCTGAAGGCTCTCTCTTTTAAAAAAGCCAAGTGAGGCAGTTGTAGGGAAAACTCCTCCACTTCTGTGATCTGGAGACCTAACTGTGGTCAACAGCCTTTTTCTAAGTGAGGCAATAACGTATTTTAGGTAACACATATTGGCATTTGAAAAAGTGCCTAAGCTTTCCCAGTGTAATTTTTTAGATTGATGCCTAGCATATTACAGGGTTATTTCACTGAAGCAATTTCAGACAGCAATAGAAACCAGAGAAATCAACTCTACTATGTCTTGTCTGTTAAGCAAAGGAAATGTTGAATAGTCAGAGTAAAGCAGAAAAGCACAGACAAGAATACTGTTGGATATACATAAACACACAAATAGAGGAAGAAAACAAAATTGTTTTCCTCAGCTTTCCTGTAGTAATATTGTCCTTCCATTTATAATCCTTTATAGTAACACCACTATGAAGTTACACCAGAGGAATGCAGTATTATTACCTAGTATTTACCCCTGAAAAGTTAGAAGGAAAAATTATTCCAAATTAAGACTTTAGAGCTCAGTAAGTCAGAATGACCACAAACTCAAACTGGTACAAGAAGGAGAGATGCAGTAACAACGTCTGTTGGTTGACTTGCAAAAGGATAAGAACCAGAGCTAGGAAAAATCTAACATGCTATGAACGACTGATTCAAAGGTGAAAGAAAGAAGAATAAAATGTATGCTAGCTGCTCTATTTTAAGCAGTTTTAGTGCAATGCAATGAAAACATTAATTTGAATTATTTAAATTTTATGAGAAGAACAACTGCAGGCATCATGTATTGTACGGTCAATGCCTTAATCATCAGTTTTTTTAAAAACAAATATTATTTAAAAATATAGCATGTTCTTGTAATTCTACTTCAAACTAAAATTTTAACCTAGTTGTTCATGCTATATTCTAAACCACAGGAACAAATTATAAATATTTCACCCCTAAATAAACCCTCTTGAGGCTCAAGTTCATTAAAAACATCTTAAGATTTTTCATAACCACAATCATGCAATTCATTAAAGCATGTATTTTCCTGAATACCGAAGACAGTATTGAATAGATTAGGCATAAAATAGATCATCACAAGGTAGGAAAAAAGTAATAATTTTGTCCAGAAATAGTCTCTGAACACTCTTAGGAAAATAGCCAAACTTCACTTGACGCAGAAGTAATCAGTAAATTATATGTTACTTTTAACAGTAGAAAAAAGCAGCATTAGAGAGACACAAAATATTTAATGGCATTTGGTAAGATTATCCTCACACTTCAGCATTTTTTTCTTTGCTGATTAGGCTTTTTCCCTTATACAGTTTCCTGATAATAGAAACTATCAGTGTTTGCTTAGAAGCAAGCTTAAGCCTGAAAGGAACCTTTCTGTATAACCTATCCAAAACTGGCCATGTTTCCTATTAGAAAAAAGACAGAATGAAAAGTATATGTAAAGGAAGTCGTAAAGAGGTTAAATTATGTTTTTATTTTCTATGGGAAACTACAAAAAATATCTAAACAAATTGTACAGTTTCCACCACAATATACTGGAAGCAGCTTAACTACTCTTCCTGATAGGCAGGTGGAAACTGTACACTGTGGGGTTTACTCAAACCATTCAACTAATCCAGCTAGTCTGTCTGGTTCTTATGAATCACCAAGATTAATCAGTTTCTTTCTACACCATTTATGAACTTTAAAATGTATTTCAAGTCATCAAGAGATTACAGCTTTACTTGTAAAAAATTGTGAGCGTTCTTTACCTTTAAGATGCTGTCAGGATGCTCTTTAGCAGAAGCAACAAACAAGTCATGTCCACAGACAACTCCCTCTGCGAGAAAATACTTGAACAGCAAATTGGAGTAAAGAGCATATTTATCTTCCTCTGTGAAAACAAGAACAGTTGGATTTTATTTTTCGTTATTTTTCTGGGTTTTTTTAATTAGATAAATCACCCATCTCCATTTTCATAACACTGTAAAAGCCCTCTGTTGGTCTACCTCCTAGAGTATATAATGTACAACTGAGATAACAGGTAAAATACGATTGCAAAACTTTAAAAAATAATGATTGATAATAGTATATTCCTCATTTTTCAATACTGTCTCACATATCCGACCAAGTATTGGATTCTAAGACATGGGTGGGTTACAGCAATATCTTCCTAATAAGGTTTCCCATAAGTATCAACTAAGATTAAGTTTAATGGGAAGGGAGTTTGTTAATTTAGAAGAACCATGTTAGTATTTACATTCTTAATGCTTAAAATATTAACCAACTTGCTTAAAGAAGCTACTAATTAATGCTTTTTCAAAATTTAATTGTATTTGGCCTGTTAAAGCTATAGAAAGGTATAATTTCTTATAGAGACATCCTTACACCGCATTTCAAAACTGAAAACTACAAAAAATAGGCAAAACAAATGGATACATCAAAAAAACAGACAATGTGCAACACCATTTTTGAAAGGTAAACACAGCAAAGCCATTAAAATGTTCAAACCACACATAAACTTACAGTTTACGAAGTGAGACAGTACTTGTTGACAGACACTGTGTTAAAATACTATTGAAATAAAAACACAAACCCCACTGACTTCAGAAAGGCCATTTCCTTTGGCTTCTTTGTTGCATGTTAAATATCAGAATTTACCAGAATCTGAAAGTCTTAATGAGCTTCATACAATTAAAATTACCATAACTCAAAACTATGGGGGAAGTGAAAGTGAATGAGTAAATGGCAAACAAAATTTGAATCATCTCTGATTTTCTTTACTTTTAGGAAATACAAATAACAGCAATGTTATTTTTAGCAAAAAGAATTCTTAGCAACATAACTACTTGATTAATTAGCAATAAGTCGAGTAAAACTTTAGGTCATGCTCTTTGGAATAGGTATTTATGCCATTTGTTTAGAAAGATATATGAAATATTTTGGGAGAAAAGTAAATGCAACACTTTTTCACATTAAATCTGGTTGCTGGAAGATAATACACATGGATGTTATGGCAGAAAGTTAGACACAGATTTTCTTTATACAGAACCAACATGACTCTTAATCCCTTCTTTCTGTGATTTGGAAACAATTTCCTCCCTATTATAAATCACATAAATATTAAGTGAAAAACCACAAAAGCAATAATAAAGGCTGAAAATAAGAAAGTTGTCATTCATATCTAAACTTGTAAAAATACTAAAGGAGGAAAGCAAAAAAGAATATAACTTTGATATGTACCGGAATAGTATGCTTTGGAGCTTAAGAGTCAAAAGAATCAATAAAGTGGAGTCGGAGGAAAGAATGAAAGGCGATATATATCCAACTAGGAGAAAGATATCTCCAACTAGGAGAAAGAACATTAACAGTAATGGGGAAACTTCAGAAACAAATTACAGAAAAATAGTGTTTTACTGATACACTCCTAATATCATGCACAAGTACTGGTACTTTCAGTGTTTAGATCAACAACAGAAAAATTCAAACACAAATTTTCAAATTCTCTGGGAAAGGTACAATTCTCCAGAGATACCCTCCATGGGATATTGGGCGAACTAGAATTTATTTCCTGCCTTTTTTTTTAATTTTTATTTCACTTTTAAATGTAGTATTTGGGATTTTTTATTTATTTTTACAGTAAAAAAGTATTTGGTATAAGCTGAAAATTTGGAAGATTTGTTTCATTCATTTATTTCTTCTTCAAAATAATTCCTAAAGATGCTGCATTAAGACTACCTACTTTGCTGGTAAGGAGAAATACTTATTTAAAAGTTTCTCTTTCCTTAAACCTAAGAAATGAACTTAAAATCACTCTAAAGCAACATTTCAAGACAGAGAAAAATCCTTTAAAACACAGTCCCTAAGACAGGAAATGACATAAAACTGGATGTCCAAATAAACCAAAGGGAATACAGTAATTGCAACACTCTTGCTCCTAATGCTAGCCATGGATAGAGCCAGTTTATTGTACAGTCTGAGGGTTTTAAGAACTCAGATTGTATTAATATAATTTACCCTGGATACTGTTAACCTGCCTAGCAGGACATACTAACCTTCTAATGTACTTCCAATAACACACCTTGTAAAAATAATGGTCTAGTGAAAAATAGGTACATATCAGTACCACGGAAAGTTCTGTGCTAACAAAAGCTTCCTGTCGACAGAGTGGGATCCTTGTTAAGATTTCAGCAAGACTCGCTTCTAAAAGCATCACAGAACTACAAACACCAATTTTCTTGAAAGTTTGGAGCTCTTAATTGAATATTTTATACAGTTTACTCTTGCATGCTTAAAAAGCTATTAACTGTGTTACAGAAGAACTGTTTTCCTGGTAACTGAATTCCACACATTGCCACATAACCAAAGATGTAGATCCATATATGAGACTAGGATGGAGAGAAGACTCAATTCAGATAAAACTGAAGGACTACTGTTGCAGAAGGAAAAAGTAAAACTGGCACTATCTAAAGTTTTGAAGAAGTATTACAGTCTTATTTTGTAAGTATAGTGTTTGAAGCCTGCCAAGATCTTAAACTGCTTCAACAAGAGGAAAACAAAACACATAAGCAGAGTAATCCTCCCTTGTAACTGGAGTCCAGGAACATATACATACAGCTCCTACACCCCCAAGCATTTGCTCTCTCTAGTTACTTATGCTTTGGTTGCTTACTCCAATATAACTGGTAATATAATATTCACAGTATATTTACTTCCATGTGCTAACCTCCATCTACGAAGCTCTCAATTTGAGAACAAATGCTCACTAGAAATCAAAGTAACAGCATGTTATCTACTTATTAATTAATTATTTCTTTAAATTGTCTGAGCTACCTGAAAGAAGACACCAAGCTTCCCACGTAATCATATCACTGAAGTACCTGTCAGTGGAGGGAGAAAATTTTGTTAGACCTCCCTTCCTTTGAACAAAATTGGAAAAGGAACACTAGTGAGGTGCTCTGGAAGAATCCTAAGCTGTCGTCCTTGGTGAATAACAACCATCCACAATTTGAGGCACAGAGACACTAAGTTGTATTGCATACGGACAGTGCTTAAATGACATTTAACAAAGTATAACCAATATCTCAATTGGTCCAAGTATTTTATCGTTTGAGGGTGCAACTATACAGAGAGTCTTTCTGGATCACTGTTTTGATACTAATTATTCATTAGAAAGTGAACAACATACTAAATTTTGTGCCAAATGTAACATGGAAAGTCCATAAACCATGGATAAATACAAGAAACCATACTGTATGTTGATTATTTAACTGAACTAAGAGGAAATAAAGCTACAGTAATTAAGAAGAATTTTTACTCAAATTTTATTTGGAAAGCTGAAATATTAAAACAAACAGTAGAAGTGAACATGGATATATACCTTTTTACTAACCTATCCAAGATTATAATTCATTTTCTTGAGTAATAGACTTATTTGTAATATAACAGGACTACAGAGGTTCTTACACTGCCATACCCTTTCAAAGCATGATTTTCAAAACAAGGAATTCCAATTTAGCCAAATAAAAGTATTTACATTCTTTATAAGGACATGTCATTTTAGCATTAGTATTTCCTTTGGTCTTCTTACATTGATTTTCAGTAAACTTTAAACAGTAAAATTAAAGTAAAAATAGGAAATGAACTATTGGAGACTGATCTAAATACAAAACACCTTACAGTCTGCTACAGTACTCTAAGGATTAAATGTGTCTCAGAAAGCCTTTACAAACAGTGAATCCAGGATTGTTGAAGTCAATGCATCTGTAAGAATCCCTCAGTTCTTCAATTTGTCAGATAGAGGATGGCTTTTTATTGATTCATTTCTAGGTCACTAAACTTTTGTGGTATTCAAAAGATCTAAAGTGCACCCATATGGGGCTTTTCTGATAGCATCCATTGTAGCCTGGCTTCAATATTTACTATTCAAAACCATAGGAGTACAACTTTCTTCTTGTAAATAAACAAACAAATCATTTAGCACAGGTACTTCAGTAGCTTATTGATTACTTTCACGGATAAATTGAATGAAACACTTTGAAGTGTATTTGTTTTCTGGTAACACTTGGACTTACTATTTTGAAGGCTAGGATAAAGTCTCAAATTGTTATCTTTATTTTTATAATTACACCCTCATCCAAAAGAACATCCATTTTGTATGTGTAGGAACTAACACTTAAGTGTATTTTAGTCAGTCAAATATTTAAGACAAGCCTGGCCCAATCTTTATTCTTAGCCTCCATACTGAAGAGCTGTCCCGTCATCAGCCTTCATTGTGAACTTTATTTCTAGCTAATAAGGCGCATGAACAAATGAGACTCTTAGCAGCTGCAGACTCTTTCCTGGGTCCAGTCACCGCAAGTCACACGCCCGTCCACAGCCTTCTCTGATTCTTTTCGAACAAAGAGTGTTCTACAGCTAAGTAGCAGGTGAGTAACTAGTGAAGCGTAAAACTATACAAGGAAAAGAGATTATTTACCTAGAAGTTATGCATATTGTTGCCAGGACAAAGCCTCTTCTTATCCTATGGATAAGGACATAAATAAAATAGTTTATTGTGATCATTATCCACTAGTCTCTTTCCACAACAGTATGCTTTATCCATGAGGATAAAAGACTCACAAAGAAAAAAGCAGTATTGTCAGTATCAGTGCAATGAATTCCAACATATAACCATGTTGAAAACTATGCATAAAGACCAGTGCCTATCTATGGCTCTTTTCACCCCTACACTGTACAGGCTACTGAACACAAGACACATTCTCGACACTTTTTGTGCATGGACTGTCTGTAGGAACTACTCAGACAGTGGGACACAGAATTAGAAACAAAATTTTAAGGCAGTGGAGTTTCTCTAGGGCACAGAAAACAAAGTGAGCAGATATGAGTGAGGCACAGTAAATATATAATTTACATAAAAATTAAGGACAAAAAGGTGAGATTTTTGTATATGTATATGTAAACACGTGGCCTTAAGGAAAAATATTTAGCCATAACTGCTCCTTCTGCACAGAAGTATTCATGTTCCAAGAGAGGGATGGAGAATAAGCACCGTAACTTGAAAAGGAACAAAAAGTCACGAAGAAAACCCACCATCCAACAAATATGCAAAGATAGTATTTATAATAACAACTTTTAAACATCAGTATAATAAACAGTATGAAGATCTCTGAAAGACTACAGAAGCAATTTGTAGTATAATTGCTTAAAATCATGAGAGCTACAAGTGGAAAATATAAGACTGTAACAATGTAATGTACAGATAGCTGATTTTTTTTTCTCTGTACGAAGTCTAGACAGGTTGCCCTAAAGCTGCCAAAAGCCTGTCATAACCTATCAGTATTGATCATTTTTTTACCAGATAGTTCTACAGTGGGGTACTGTGACCTAAGGTGTGTCTTTCTAAAGCTATGAAACATATCTCTGAATTGCTGCAGGTTATAAGATGCGTTTATTTTAATAATCTGAAATTCCATTTAAAAGATACTTTACTAATGTCCACATTTACTAAGCTTGAGGGGATATACTTTGTGTCACTTGCATTTAATTAGCACATGCCAAAACAGAGTTGTCAAACATGTAAGTTACAATATTTGGCATTTGGCCATACTTCAAGAAGGTGAATTCTGGTAACTTGTATTTTGTAGAATTGTATTTACCAGATCACTGTTTTGTACCTCTTCTGAGATTGAATTTTCAGCCTTAAAAAGATAAATTCGATTATACTGACAAGTGAAGAGAGCTCTTACCACTCAGGTTAAATTGCATGGCTAACAAAAATAATAGTAGGTGATTAAAGTAGCTGAAACTGCTTCAAGGCTTAGAATGTACAAGTATAGACCTGCTTTTAACCAGACAACTTTAACTTTTAATATTGACCTCAGCTACCAACAAAAAACCTCCTACTGATAATTAAAACATTTAGCCATCAATGACCTTGTCAAAACTAGAGCATCTAAAAGGTATGTAAGGATGGGTTCTCATAAGGTACCCAGGACAGACCTATTTGAGTGTGCTGTAACTCACTAAGTAGAATGCATTATATAAACAAGGCTTATATGTAAAAGCAAAACAACATCCTCCTGGAAACACTTCCCAAGGCTGGCAAAACAGATATGCAACAGGTTGAAGTACACTGGAGAGAGGAGGGGGAAAGGAGTGTACTTAATCAACATTTATACTATTTGTTTTGAAAGGGGAGATTCTTCTAGAAAGCTCCTTTGAAGCAGTTCACGATGAAATAACAAACAAGTTGCCTCACATTCATACTGAACAAACTGTTCTGTGTTAAAATTTAATTCCACGCAGAGTCAGAATACTTGTTTTACCACTTCTCATAAGCCCAACTTTTTGCAACTAATTTTTTGCAACTAAAGTACTGGTTAAAATCCAAAACATTCTTGTTGTGTGGCCAAAACTCAGGAAATTTCAAGTTCCTCTAGTAGCTAGAAACTTGCATGAGACTATCATGGTCTCAACTCTCTAATTCTCATATAAATAAAACACTGTCAAAAGAATATATGATAGAATTAAATCAACTGAAAATCATGATGCTTGTTATTATGAATTAAGTTTTAAAAAACTGTGCACTTATATTTCAAACAATAGTTTGCAGTCTTAGCAAGTAACCTCTGCCTTTACTGCATCTTCAGAACACAACAGTTAAAATAAATATTTTAATACCCTGAATCTACTATTATTTGGTTAAATTAACCAAGATAACGTGACAAATAATGAAGATGAGCATTTAATTTGCAAAGGGAGCTAATCCAAAAGTAATGCAATTTATTCTTGCCTTAGAGAATGTTGAAGGAAGGGGGAAGAATTTAACCTTTTTGTAACACTTGGAGTACAACGCAAAAGATCTTCCTAGGAGGTTTATCACTGACAGCTTCAATCCTGTATAATATTAAGCTTGCCTAGACTAATCTCTCGACAGAATTTTTTTATATACTGACAGGATATTCTAACAATGTAATTAACAGTTCTATCTGCACCAACTTTAAAACTCAGTTTAAAAAAATTTTAGATTAATGACTCAGGAATAAACACAGTTCTTACTTTAAGACTTTTTGTATATAACGTATATATATGTTTCAAAACAATAGATGGTAAGTCTTACTTGGGGAAAAAAATAGCTTTCAGAACTAAAAGAGAGCTAGCTTCTCCTTCATGTTTCTGTGAAGCTAAGTTTGATATCAGATCACAAATAATCAACATAAGGGATAAGTAAATTAAACCCCACCACTGAGTATGGCCAGAGAGAAATGAGGTAAATATCCTCCCATTTTCAAATCATTTTCAAATCTCCCATTTTCAAGTCTTGTCATCTTTTTTATTAGAACACACAGCTCACTGTCATTGCACTTTCTTTGGTGCCACTAAGGTCAGGTCAAGTAGACATCTAACCTGATGCTCAACAGCAGCCAAAAGCAGGTATTTAGGAAGAGGTAATAAGAACTGAACAAGCAAATGTGATGCTTCACCCAAGTACTTGCTCAGCCTCACACCATTCAGAGGACTCAAGGACTTCCTTAGCTGGACTTGGTATCCACTAACCTAGTAATGCAAATTTCTTTCTCTTCCATCATGCTGCCCAGTTTCAACTGAGACCATGATTTTTTTTTTTTTTTACATTTACATTTTTTTTACATTCACAACAGCCTATGGTGAAGTATTTCACTTGCATACCACCTGAAGAACAACTGTCTTTTGTTTAGTTACAATCTTTCAGCTAGTAGGTTCATTTGGTGTCATCCAGTTCATCTACTGGAACGGTCAGTGAATACTGTAATGGGAAGAAAAACCAAAACTAATCTCTGATGTGTAAAATATGATAGGTTCCAATTTTTTTTCTTCCTTTGTCTATAGCAAGATTGCAGCTCTTCTCAAACTGAGTGAGAAAAGAAAGATCTTTACTGAAAGCAGTAAGAGAGAAACCTATCATTTTTCCCAAATTCACAGAAATTTGGATGAAATTTAATGAGAAAACTGAGCTTAACTGGCAGTTTCTGCCTTGACAACGGGCATGTACTTTCTCTCCTAGTCCTCACTGTGCAATATCTCTTTCCCTTGTGCTGGCTCTGGTACTCATCTCATGTTAGTGAGCTGATTCAGGTCACTAAACACACAGAAAAGTTTCCGCTCTTTAACTGGGTGAGTTTTCTGTCAACTTGGGAGAGTTGAGAGTTGAAAAGCACTACCGTCAGCTTAAGGAACAATAAAATTGCACAGCCATGAATGGGGAGAATTTGAACAACTTCTTTCAGCAACAGTGAACTGCTGTATCTCAAAAAGTTTCAAAAAAAGTTCTCAAAAAATGTGAACTTGAAGAGCAGCCCTTACGCAAACAGTGGCCTGCATGGAATTACATAATGTCAGTTCTTTTTTTCTGGCAGCCAACTATTCAAATGACTTAATCTGCACTGATTTATATACCTTATGTAAAAAATCAAGATTTTTCTAAGATTCAGTTAGAAAGTAACACCTGCCTCTAACCGTGGATAAAATGCAGAAATGAAAGTAGCCATCAAAGTACTTTAAAGTAACAAGCCACACAACTACAGGTGTTTCTCTAATAAATAAACTTTCATTTTTTCCCCTGTACTATCATCTCTTTTGCTAGGAATGTAACAAGCTTGAAAGTTTCTCATAAGACCCATTAATCTGTTAAACATTTAAAACAGAAAATAAACCCCAACTAAAATCAAATTTATGATTTTGTATTAAAATTTATGTTATTCAGCCCTTGTACCCTTCTGAAGTAGTTTTGTAGTAGAAGCCCAAGATTAATGAACTGATGTGACAAATCAGGTGGTACCTCCTACAATTCCTCTTCTGCAATAATGGTCGTTGTTATATGCTGAAACGGTAAGCACTTACAAGACTAACTTGGAAGAAGTTAGTCTTCCCTCACAATTGTAGTTTTGGCTGCAATACTTAAAACTGAGGGGCCTGGGAAATATTTCTCGTACAGTCCAGTACATACCATGGGGATATGAAGACAACATGTATGTGCACAACAGTCCTTCTCCCCTTTGCTACACTTCAAATAGAAAGGAAATCTGGGCATCTCAGCTGCAATGCAGACATGGTACCAGACAGTTTCAATGTAATCTGCAAAGGGAATTCTGTTGTAAACTGTTTAATCATCTCAGTGTTCCTCATCCACATCCTGACAGAAAGCTGGCTTTCAACAGCTTACTCTTACTTGATTTCAGCAAACAAAAGATTAAAAGATTCTGTATTTCACAGCTTCCTCAGAAAGCCAAACTGAAAAATCAACCAACCAACTCTGAGACGATACACAGTCTGAAGCTTACAGGAAATCAGGAAGCTTAGAAAATATTAAATAATTTGAAAATTTTCCTGAAATTTGCTAAATGCCCTGTTTTCAAAAAGAATACTGCAGTATTCTCCTTGAGGAGTCAAAACTGCCTGAAAGTGTTTGATCCACTTCAAGTAATTCTTGAAATAGATACTAGTCCACTTTGAAGGCTATCCAAAGTGAAGTGGGCCAAAAGTTACACTTTCCTAAAAGTCCAAGTTTAAAAAACAATGAAATGATAGGTTAACTAAAATACATTAAAAAGCACAAAACACATCAGATTATGACTTTATCTATATATTCTATACTAACCAATAAGAAGAAGGGTTCCAACAGCTATGCCTCCACCTGGAAACAAAATAAAATGAAGATAAAGTAAGACTACATTTTAATAGCATGTTAGAGAACAATTAAGTTTTCTTAGTTTGTAAGTCAAAGAAAGGTGATAACTGGGAATTTAAAAATATAAAAGTGAACAATATTTTAATTACCTTTGCAATACTTCCTACAATTCTCTATTATGAAATAATTATACGTTACATGTAATTACATATTACACATTACAATTACTTTCACAATATACTTACTATCATCACTGTGGTTAAAAGATCCTGCAGAGCTCCACGCAACTATGCTCAAGTACTACAATAATGATGTATGGTCTGAGCCAGTGAATTTTTACTTGGATGACTCAAGTGAGTAATCATAGAATCAACTGAGCTGGAAAAGACCCCTCAGATCATCACGTTCAACCATTCCAGCACTGCCAAGTCCACCAATAAACGACGTTACTAAGGGCCTCGCTTACACAGCTTTGAACACTTCAATGGATAGTGATTCCACCACTGCCCTGGGCATCCTGTTCCAATGCCTGATCACCATCTGGGGCAAATTTTTCCTAATATCCAATCCGACCCCCCCCCCCCCCTTACCTCTTGCCCTATCACTTGTTGCTTGAAAGAAGAGACCATCAGCTACAGGTTCGGGGTGTAACATGGACTCACCACTACACTGTTACAGACTCTTATAGTCTATATCCAATGACCCAACGTCCACCATCACTCACCTCCACAGGGAAGGTTCTCCCCTCAAGGAGTTCCCAACCCCAGGGAGAACCCCTGGCTGCAGGAGCTCTCTCTGAGGAGCAGCAGCTCAGAAGGGTTGCCCCAGTGGCTCCTTCACACTCTGGGCCAGTTTGACCAGTGACCAACTATGGTCATGTACTCTATGGGCTCAGGACCCACTTGCCACCCCTGCACCGCCAGTGCCACCGGGACAAGAGCTGCGCACAGCAGTTTTCCTGTGAACACATCGGGGGGGGGAAAGATTTGGTGGGATTTGGCTAAGGCTTTGGTAGGTGCTCCAGTTAAATCCATATTATCACTACCAAGTGATATTCTTCTGTACCAAGGACTGTGTATGTAAAGAGACCTAATAATAGGCTAGAAAATTACCAGCCATGTCAATGAGGTAAAATGTTGGCTCCACTGGTTTTTATCTTATTACTGGCACTGCAGTAAGGCAGGTAGGATTTCAACCAGTGGAATATGGACAGACAGATCATGAACATTTCAACGCCGATCTGAAAAAACCCCAGGCTGCTAAAGTCTCTTGCAGTATGTCTTGGACATAAAAACAACTCTATGAATGCAATCGATTTAAATATTTGTTCAAAAATAAAAATAGTTTGACAGATTTATACATGGTAACTACTATTTTTCTTTTTGTTGAAACAATTACAACAGATGCTTATGTCCCAATCACAAATGACTGACTGAATAATAGACAGAATACTCTCAATATGTGTTAATGCATAGATTCTTATTCCATTGATCTCAACAGGGAGGACCAGAAAAAAAAAAAAAGCAGCTATGAACTCCCATTCTGATTGCTTTATTTCTTCCTCAAAGAGATAGCAAGCACAAATGTATAACAGTGGTTTAAATGGTTGTCCCAAGAAGGAATTTTTATAAAGACAGTGAAAAAGAATTCATATTTTATTTTAGATTAAGAGTAAACAGATTTATAATCCAAATTCCAAGACTGAAAATAGTGGAATAACTTGAAATCAGACTACAAATATATTGTTGAACAATCATAAGACTAATATGAAAGCTAAAAATTCCTGAACTGTTCAGATGGGCCTATGGAACTAGCCTAATTCAGTGCTTTGCATGAAGAAAACTGCAGTATTTCTTCTGCAATTACATACTGCTTTAAGAGCAAGTTAGGAGCAAATGGAATCACATCAGCACAGTATCCAAAGCTCTTGATAAAAGAAGTCAATTCTGGAACGCATAGGTAGACTCTTGTGAACAGGATAATTCAGTCTACCAGTTCAACAGCTGATTAAATTCACCTGAAATTGATTCCAATGGGGATTGGATCAACTTCTTGATCTTTAGCTCTGCTGATGGTAATACAAATGTTGATATGTACCCAGAAGTAAGAGAAAAAGCAAATTTTTCTTCCCTAGGTAAAAAAGTGCTAATATTATTGCATAACACCTGAATTAAAACCATAATAAAATCCCTTTGTACCACAATTTGAGCAGTATAAAAGTTTAATCAGCTACCAATTTCATAGTTGTAGTTCAACACATCACAAGTTTTTTAAACTATGCTTCAGAGTCAAGATGTACAAAAGCCTCAATGTTTATGGCAAGCTGATCAAGTAATCAAGCATTTCCTACACATTTAAAAAAAACCCAAACAACCCAAAACCAACTAGAAGCACTGTTATCCTAGTGTGAGAATCATTCATTAAATCCCCATGCTCTAATCCACTACTTTCTGTTTCATTTTATTTGCTTGGGAGATAAACACAAATGGCCCCAAGTACAAAGATGTACCACAGGGGAAAGGAGGAGAAAAAAAGAACAAAATCAGAAATCATACAGATGCTTGATACAATGTATGCTTCCAATATTCACCATATTCAATTGTTCAAGGAGACAGAATGCATGGCTCACTAACAATGTGCTTAAAATCAGCATCTATTCTATATAGCACATAGAAAAAAATAGCTCAAAGTTATGATTACCAATCATGGCTTGACATGGAGAAGACGATCAAAACAGCCATAAGTAACATACTACCTCATGGCAATAAGGTTTTAAAACTTTGGTTATAAAAGCTCACTTGCAGCCACCACAGAAGTTGTGTCTCTTCTGCTTTTAAATTGCTTGCGTGACAGGGAGTTTGTTTGTCAAACTGTATATCACTGCAGTTAAAATCCTCGCAAGCTGTATTTTCAGACCATCAATTGTACTGCCTCTTTCTACAAGCCAGAGCTGGAACATACATACCCTGACTACTAAAGGCAAGTCAGGTCAGAGGACTGGCTTTACATTATCAGGTGCACTGAACAGTCCGAACAAATGTACTCTATTAGATGGAATGTAAAACTATTGCAGTTACCATGGTTATACATTCGTATTACAATGAACAATAATAACAGTAAACTAAGCAAAAACCAGACCACATTAAAAAAATAGCAGGAATGCTGACAGAATCAAAAGCAAAATGTAAAATCTTCATGTTTTCTAAGAAAACGTGTGAACTTGTAATTCTTTGTAACTTGCTAGTGTAATTTTAACTTGTTTGTATCTAATAGTACATGTAAACAACTATGTAAGACTTCTAACTTTCCGCACTGCTACTTGCAGCAATGAGATTTAAGATCTCAGAGATAAAAACACAACAGTCTTTGCAAGTTGAGAACCCACTGTTTTCAAACGGTATCTGTGACCTTTTTTTAAGCACCTTGAAACAAAATATTCTGTACCAAGCATGTGATGGTTAGATTACGTGATAGTTACAGCTCATTCCAGAGAATATGGTGTATAAATCTTGAAAATGAATTTGAAGTCTAGAGATGGGAACATGGAATTTGAAATCCAGCACTTATCTACCACTTCTTTTTGAAAGGAAATGCATTTAAGAAGAGCTATCTATCAACAATACTGTAACAAATCAGGAGAATTTCAGAGTGTATATAAGGAAACAGGGAATACCCACAAAGATAATCAAGCCTCTCTGCTACTGCAGGTTTTCAAGACTCAACTCTACAAAGCCCTGAACAACCAACTCTGAATTCAGTGTTGAGTCAGCCTTAAGGTTGCTGTAGTTGAATTCCTGAGGTCCCTCTTCAGCCTCCAAAATCAATGATTCTGTAGAAGTCCACCTAGATGGGCGGTCTGTCTGTAACAGTGCCTAATACCTGGTATCAACAGGGATTTTATTGTAGTTCAGCATTTTTGCAGTCTTTTGTGGCCTTATCCACTCAGCAAGTTTTCCGGCTTTTCAGGTTTTCCAGTTCTTCAAAAATGCCACAACCCAATGCTATTCCCAGCATTGAACAACTTTCCTGATGTTAAAGTGTAAAACCTGTTAAGGTCAGGAAATCAGTGAATATTTAAAAGACGAGGAAAAGGTACTTTAGAAGGGATCCCGAGTTTACTGAAATAAGTCTCCCCTGTTTCCAGAACAGACCATATGCAAAGGATTTGTATACAAACCCATACAAATATGAACCAAAACAACTAAAAATTATGTTAGCAAGTGCCCAGACATTTAGGAGCCTGTTACTATGGAAGCTGTCTACATCGTCTGACCTATGCTGTGCAAAATCCACTGTTTATAAAAGGGAATATGAAAAACAACTAGAATATTGAATGCAGATCTTGTATTTACGCAATTAAAGGTTTTTTTTTTTTTTTTAAATCACACTCAGTGAAATATTTCTCTCTTAAAAGCTCTCCCCCTGAGCTTTCTCCACAAAGATGCCAATCCCTATTGAAAGTGCAGGTGTTCCCTACCAGACACACAGACACAAAAGATAAATTAGTATGATCCTCCGTAAGATACACAGGCTGCAAAAACTTATTTATAAAATGAATATAACTTTTGTATTTGTCATTACTCCTCAGAATATTCTTAGAAAGAAAAGTGAACCATTCCTGAAACCAGGACATCCATGTACTCCTCCAAGAATGAATGACCAAAGCTAAAGTCAGACTTTCCTCATCTAAAGGTAGTCCCATCTATGTACACTGAAAATGTACTGCAGCTGTGTCAGTAGTTAGTAAGAGGGTGATGCAGCCCTAGCATATACAGATAAAACAACCTGTTTATACTAGTGAAGTTAATTAGTTCTCAATCCAGGTAAAGAGTACTACTTCGTGCAACAGATTGTAACAACAGATCAGCCCCAGGAACTATCTAGCATCTTGACCCTGACAGCAGGCAAAAGCAGATTCACAGACAATAAGAACAGCATAATACCAGTGTAATTTATCTGAACAAGGCATTTATAATGATGTAGCGGTGGTGAGCAACATGGAAAAGACACACTGAGAATCCAGCTTTACAGTCAAACACATCCTAAAAATACCTAAAAATCCTGAACCACCAGAACTACACCTCATGCAACTAGGAGTTGATTCGGCAAGCGTTTTCCAAAACCGAAAAGTTCAGGCCCCGTACTTAGTCTGAAACAGGCGCATGTTTTTCAAACCCGATAGCTTCAGACCCCTTAGTAAAATAGACAGGAATGTGTTACCGTACTACAGAGTACCTTTCCTCTCTAGAAAGGTTGCTTAAACCGATTTGTATGAGCGGTAAATGGCAACCTTTTGCCTCAGCAGCAGGCTGGGAAGCGGGCTCACTCGCCTGCCCCTCCTCACACGGGGCGGGGAGCTCAAGGCGGGAAACAGATCCTGCTTTGCCCCTTTCTCTTCCCCTTCCCCCCTCCCCTTCTCCCCCCAATCCCGGGAACCGTGGGGAGGAAGGAAAAGCCTGAGGGAGTAGCTGCGGGACTGCGGAAGGTAAACGACAGGCAGGGCCGCCGGGCTGAGGGAGGGGGTGGCAGCAGCCAGGTCCCAGGTCCCGCTTCCCACCAACCTAGAACACAGTCCAGGGAGGGGAGCCCGCTGGAGAGCAGCAGCTGCCCGTGGCGCACGGAGGGCCGGGTGCCCGCCACAGTGGCCAAGCGGCTGCCGGCCGCGGCCTTCCGCTGGAAACTGGTGGCCCCGCGACACCGCGACGCCCCGCCGGCCGCTGCCGCCATCTCGGCTGCCCGTCGCTTGACAGGAGAAAGGGGCCGCCGGGAAGAATCAAGCCTTTTCCAACCCACCAATGGGAGAGCCGCGTAGGAAACCCGGTGTCCAATGGAAGGCTGCGTTGTTTGCACGTCGCTGGGGTAAAGGGGCGGGGAAGGTTGGGGCTGCCGGTGAAGAATAAGTAGGTGAGTGTGGAGGGGGATTGCGGGGTGCGTTTCGGCGGAGGGCCGGAGCAACGGCCGGGCGTGAGGGGTGGGTCGGGCGGGCGGCGGCGTACCCTGCCCTGTAATGGAGGAGGTGTGGAGTAGTGCAGCGGCGGTGAGCCGGCCGTGCTGCGGAGGGGGAGCCCCCCTTTCTTTCTGGGGGTTGGGTTGCCGAAAGGTCAGTGAGCCCTGAGGAGAGAGGCCTACCTAGCCTGTGCACCCCTCGTTGCCGTCGCCAGTCTCTGTGCCGCCCGGTCGGCGTCCCCCTTTGTGAAAAAGCTTATGTGCGAGTTTGGAAGGAAAAAGTGTAAAGCGTTTTCTAACGGTTTTCAAGTAACTATGTAAGTGTGCTTGAAGTCTCGTTTATACGTAGCTGTAGGTCTGTAATAAATGTATGACTTAACACCCCCTCCCTTGGAAGCAGCGGCTCTTAATCATGCTAAGAGCTATACGAGAAGTTACTTTACACGAGAAATGTAGTTGTTGAATTAGTTACTAAAACCATTAAAAGTTATTTTGTGCTCGGTTGTTTGTTTTGGTTTGGGGTTGTTTTGGTTTTGTTTTTTTTTTGAGGATTAGCATGTCCTTTACTTTTTATTAGCCATTTATTGATAGCGGCCTGTTGTCTTGTACACTGCAGGAAACTACCACTCTAAAATGAGTGAGATATTTGAACTTGGTATTTCATTTTATGTACTTACTATATACAAAGACATTAAAATGCTTTTTATCTTAATGAAGAACTGTAGTATGCTTGCTGTGTAAATCAACACTTTATAGTACTCTGAATTTAATAGAAATCCCCATAAGCATATAGAATAGCCACTGTCACAGGTATTTGTGTGTTTGTTTTTAGTCTGTTGGCATTTCAGATGTGTCTCAAGCTACTTAAAGGCATTTGCACATAGCAGGATGTACTAATGAGGCTGTAATGTAATTCTCCACTCTTAAGCTCCAGTTTTAATGAATGTTTTGTTACTGCTCTAAGCCATTATTTTTGAGCACCTGTGGTTGTTGATCCTACCTTTTTTGGGGGGGTGGAGGAGGAGCAGGGGATCTTCATATTAAATATAAGCAGCAATAAAGAGCAACAATATGGTAGCAGTCCTGAACCTCAGAGGTTTTCCTCCATATAAAACTCAAACTTGGGAGGGTGAACTTTCGGTATTATTTCTTCCTAGCTGGTGAAACTGCATTTAATTTGCTGCTGGCCAAGCATCTTATGTATTAAACACTGGATATTTTAAATCTTTATCATGAGTATCAAGAGGTTGCTTTAATGTTTTATGTTTGCTGCAAAACTGTGAAATACTTAAGAATATTTAATTTCAAATGTAGATTATTGTTCAAAGTTAGAAGTATTTGTCTTTAGAGGAAAAAAATCAAAGGACACATTTAAAAACATGGCAAGAAATAAATAAACCTATTGAATGTCACTTCTGTTTGGCCCTAGTAATGAATTGTTAATATCTGGATTAGGAAAGACTTTAACAAAATAAAGAAAAAAAGTGTAACTCACAATCCATTTAAGAGTTCAATAATCTGTTATTGTCTGTGGGATCCTATGGTGAAGGAATTATGGTGTATAATTGAGTGATGGAGCTGAAACTCAAGAGTTCTTCACTTTTGAAATATCACATCAGCTCTTCCATTTCTTACTTCACTGGAGTCCAGATATCCGAATATTTCAGATGTGTGTAACACTACTAAAAATTTGCAGTATATTTATTATATTACTTTTCTACAAAATACTTGTAGGCCCAATAAGGATATTTTTGATAAGTCACCACTTACTTACCAGAAAAGGAATCATGGTGTTTATCTCAGTGATTTCTTTTCTCCCCATTCCAAGCAGTAAGCTTCTTTTTGTTACTTCAGTGAGACAAAGTTTTTTAAATGAAATACAATAGTATAGGCTGCATTAGGTGCTGGAAACCTAAAGGAAAAAAAGAGGCTTATGAAAGGGGGGAAGCAAGGACAGGTGACGTGGGAAGAATACAAGGATGTTGTCTGGGAAGCTAGGGACCGGGTTAGGAAAGCTAAGGCCCAGTTAGAATTAAACTTGGCTAGGGATGTGAAAGATAACAGGAAGGGATTCTATAGTTACATTGCGAATAAAAGACAGACTAGGGGCAATGTGGGTCCTCTCTGTAAGCTATCAGGAGAGCTGTCTACCCTGTATTTGCTAAAGGCTGAGGTTCTGAATGACTTCTTTTCCTCAGTCTTCACTGGCAAATGCTCTGACCACACCAGCCAAATCTTGGAAAGCAGATGCAGGGACTGTGAGAATGAAGACCTTGGGCCCACTGTAGGAGAGGATCTGGTTTGAGACCATCTTAAGAACCTGAATGTACACAAGTCCATGGGACCTGGTAAAATCTGTCCGTGGGTCCTGAAGGAGCTGGAGAATGAAGTTGCCAAGCCACTGTCCATCATATTGGAAAAACCATGGCAGTCAGGTGAAGTTCCCAGTGGAAAAAGGGAAATATAACCCCCATTTTCAAGAAGGGGAAAATGGATGACCTAGGGAACTTCAGACCAGTCAGTCTCACCTCTGTGCCTGGCAAAATCCTGGAGCAGATTTTCCTGGAAGCACAACAAGGTGCTTGGTGACAGCCAGCATGGCTTCACTAAGAGGAAATCCTGCCTGACCTATTCGGTGGCCTTCTGTGATGGGGATATAGAACTGGTAGACAGGAGTAGAGCAGTTGATGTCATCTACCTGGACTTGTGCAAAGCATTTGACACTATCCTGCATGACATCCTTGTCTCTAAATTGGAGAGACATCAGTTTGATAGGTGGACCACTCGGTGGATGAAGAACTGGCTGGATGGCCACACGCAAAGAGTTGTCAATGGCTCAATGTCCAGCTGGAGAGCAGCAACAAGTGGTTTCCCTTAGGGATTGGTGTTAGGACTGGTCTTGTTCAACATCTTTGTCACTGACATGGACAGTGGGATTGAGTGTGTCCTCATCAAGTTTGCTGATGACACCAAGCTGTGTGGTTCAATTGATAACGCTGGAGGGAAGGAATGCCATCAAGAGGGACCTTGACATGCTTGTGAGGTGGGGTGATGCCAAACTCATGAAGTTTAACCATGAGAAGTGCAAGGTCCTCCATATGGGTCAGAGCAATCCCAGGCACAGCTAGAAGCTGGGCAGAGAAGAGATTCAGAGCAGCCCTGCCGAGAAGGATTTGGGGGCGTTGATCGATGAGAAACTAACATGAGCCAGCTTCAGTGTGCTCTCACAGCCCAGAAAATCGTATCCTGGGCTGTATCAAAAGGAGTGTGACCAGCAGGTCGAAGGAGGTGATCCTGCCCCTCTACTCTGCTCTTGTGAGACCTCACCTGGAGTACTGTGTGCAGTTCTGGTGTCCTCAACATAAAAAGGACATGAACTGTTGGAACAAGTCCAGAGGAGGCCCATGAGGATGATCAGGGGAATGGAGCAACTCCTGTATGAAGACAGGCTGAGAAAGTTGGGGCTGTTCAGCCTGGAGAAGATTGCGTGTAGATCTCAGAGCAGCCTTCCAGTATCTGAAGGGGGCCTATAAGGATGCTGGGAAGGGGCTGTTCATTAGGGACTGTAGTAATAGGACAAGGGGTAGTGGGTTAAAACTTAAACAGGGGAAGTTTAGATAGGATGTAAGGAGGAAGTTCTTTACTGTAAGGGTGGTGAGGCACTGGAAAAGGTTGCCCAGGGACTTGTGAATGCTCCCTCCCTGGTGGTGTTCAGCATCAGGTTGGACAGAGCCTTGGGTGACATGGTTTCATGATTGGTGTCCCTGCCCATGGCAGGGGAGTTGGAAATAGATGATCTGAAGGTCCTTTCCAACCCTATCGTATGATTCTATAATTTCACCTGCAATTCCTTTCAGATAAATAGAGAAGAAATTTGTTTTATAGAGACTTCTTTATTTTAAAATCAACTGTGTTTAGTCTTCTGGAATAATAACTTTTTCACTTTCTTTGAATGATACTAAAGGTTTGCTTATGTTCCCCAAAAGATGAATTTCCAGCCATTGTAGAAGATCCCACTAGGGGCTCTCTTATAGAAAGCAAGACTACAGGAATTTGTAATTCTAGGTATTAGTATATAAAAGTCCCATCATCATATAAAAGACATTACATTAGTAGGTAGATGAGTCCTATGATTTCTGCTGTAGGGGTGGAATTGAAATGCAGAGAAACTAAAGAATGGAGTTGATTGCAAGTGATCAGGAAATGTCTTAGCAGGTTACTTATCAGCTGAGCTGTGGCAACTGTGGTCAGACTCATAAGGGGGAGAAGTTTAAGCTGTTGTCTAGATTGGGATGTTTTAAACTTTCAAATCATCAACTTTCCTTTCTTGCAGCTTGTGTATTATCGTGTAGACCTGATCCAATTCTCACTACTTGTCTATGCCAAATGCAGATTCTAAGATGGATTAAGAGGATTTTTGGGTGAGAATTCCCTAAGGAAAAAATGGAGGGAATACAATGGGTGAATGAGACAGCAATCAAAACATTTGGGAAAAGGTATGCTTGGAATTTGATCTGCAAGTATGTTTGTCATTTCACTGTAGCAAGCAGATTTGGTGAAAATCCTAGTGTCCCCAAAATAGCAGTGCTTCTTAGAGTGTGCTTTTTAGGTATTTTGTCCTTGGTAAGTGAAAACACCTGTCATGGCTCTCATTAACTCTCTTTGCAACATGGGTTGCAGATGTAAATTTTTAGGACTTTCAGTTAATGCAAGCTGAGGCTCTGTTGTGTGAGCAGACAATGTTATTTTATTGTGCATGTTTTATTTCCCGTGAGTTCTAACCAGTGATTTCCCTAGGTTTTAATTGTGCCTTCTAAGATTCAGTATGTGCTT